CCCCCCATATCTTTTCCCTGGAGACCTGTAGGAAGGGCCCTGGGGCTGCCACTTCTGGGGCCGTGTGCCTCTGTCCTGCTCCAGCCCCCACCCAGCCTGAGAGCTTGGGCTCGTTAAGCTGAAGCATGCTGGGCATGTTTCTCCTCGCCTCTGGTCAAGCTGGCTCCCTCCCGCAGGCGGGAAGGGCAGCTGGGGCTGTGTCTCCCAGGAGATGAAAGGGTCTGTAGATGCTCAGAACCCTCCGGGGCCTGGCCGTTCTGCATCTTCCCACACTTGATGACGCCCAGCTTCATCCCTCCTCTGTTCGGATCCAGAGGATGCATGAGCCTTGGGAGCCCCAGGTCCACTTCCAGAAACCTGGCCTTGGGCTCATACCCATCTCGGTGTTTATCACCTGTGAAATGGGCACGATGTCTTAGTCCAGTCTCACTGCCTGTGTCAGGGAGAAGCACCGAGGCCCTTCACTTTATTTTGTCCTGAAGTCATTTTCCAAAGGCCCCTCCCCCCCAACAGTGCCATCTCTTTTCTGCATTTAGTCTAAGTCTGCAGTTGTAAACCTGGCTGCTAAGAGAAACAGCCGGGTGCTCTAAAAAGCACGGGGCTCTGAACCCTCCCAGCGACACTGATGCAGTTGGTTTGGAGCGGGGTGAGAACAGCAGCTTCTGGCGCCCCACCTCCACTTGGGGAAGTTGAGATCTGACGAGATGGAAGTGGCCAACATGACAGACAGGCTCCCAGAGAGCCAGTGGGCCAGGACACCCAGTATTTTTTCAAAGCTCCCACGGTGATTCTCACATGCAGCCAGGGCTGACCTTGGGCCTAAGGTACCTTGGTAGGCAGAGCGAGGTTGATGCTGACTAATAATAGCTCGCAGTTATCTAGCCCTACCAGAGGTAAGCTACATATGTGAATTAGATCACTTACCTCTGACAACAACTGCAGGAGGATTATTCTCCCCGGCCGGTGTACTCAGTGGTTAGAGCATCGGCTCTCAAACCAAAGGGTTTCGGGTTTGATTCCCAATGAAGGGCACATACCTGGGTTGCAGGTTCGATCCCACCACGTGCAGGAGGCAACTAATCGATGTGTCTCTCTCACATCGATGCTCCTTTCTCTCTCTCCCTCCCTCCATCTCTCCCTTTCACTTTCTCTAAAATTCAATGGAAAAAATATCCTCCGGTAAGGATTAACAAAACAAAACAAAAAAAAGAATTATCCTCCCCATTTTTTAGGTGAGGGAATTGAGGTTACTTGGTACCTTGTCCAGGCCATTCCGCTAGTTAGTGGCTGAGCCTGGATTCAAGCCCAAGCCTGATCTCCCAGAACCCAAGCCCGTCCAGGGCCCCTGGGACAGCTGTGGTCAGCCACCTCTTCCCAGCAGGTTGCATGGCGAGCTGTTGCCCCCATTTTCCAAGGTGACCATAGGGTCTGAGCCTGCGATGCTTTAGTCTGCAGCAGGTCATGGACAGAGCCGTTATCACCAGGGGTCACCAGCAGTGGGCATGTCCAGCTTAGGCCAGATGCTTGGACTCAGAGCCTGGAGAGTGAAATCCAGTTACTAACGGGCTTTTGGTGCTGGTGTGTGTTTCTTCCCTTTCCAGTGGAACATGACAAAGAGTTTTTCCACCCGCGCTACCACCATCGAGAGTTCCGATTTGATCTTTCCAAGATCCCTGAAGGGGAAGCCGTCACCGCAGCCGAATTTCGCATCTACAAGGACTACATCCGGGAACGCTTCGACAATGAGACGTTCCGCATCAGCGTCTACCAGGTGCTGCAGGAGCACTTGGGCAGGTGGGTGCTGTGCTGATACCTGGGAGGGCTGCTGAGCTTCCTCTAGCTGCAGAGGAAGGACAGGCCTGGCTGCTTCTACCCTGGAGCACCCACCTGTGCCAGGCCCTGGACTGAGTATCTTTTTAAAAGAGGGTGTATATGTATGTCATTGTTTCTTTTTTTGTGTGTGTGTTTATTTTTGTTTAAAATATTACAGATGTCCCTTTTTCTCCCCAATGACCCATTCCACCCCTTCCCACCCCCCTCCCTAGTCCCTCTTCCCACCATTGTCCATGTCCTTGGGTTGTGCATATATGCATATGAATTCTTTGGTTAATCTCTCCCCTTTCACCCACCCTCCCTCCTCCATCCCTCTGAGATCCCTCAGTCTGATCCATGTTTCCATGTCATTGAAGCTATTCTGTTCATCAATTGATTAAGTTCTTTAGATTCCACATATAAGCAAGATCATGTGATGTTTGTCTTTCTCTGCCTGGCTTTCACTTAGCATAATACTCTCCAGGTCCCTCCAGGCTGTCCCACAGGGTATGAGATCCTTCTTTACAGCTGCGTAGTATTCCCTGGTGTGAATGTCCCACAGCTTTTTTATCCACTCATCTACTGATGGGCACTTGGCCTGTTTCCAGATCTTAGCGACTGTAAACTGCGCTGCTATGAGCATCAGGGTGCATATATTCTTTCTGATTAGTGTTTCAGGATTCTTAGGATACATTCCTAGGAGTGGAATCACTGGGTCAAAAGGCAGCTCCATTTTTAATTTTTTAAGGAACCTCCATACTGTTTTCCACAGTGGCTGCACCAGTCTGCACTCCCACCAGCAGTGTATGTCACTGTTTCTTAAAACTATCACCATCCATGAATCCTGCTAGGAATAGGGGATGGCCAGTGAGCCTGGATTGTGTGGCCTCGCGTGGGTATTTATGGGTGGTCTGGGCCTGGCACGTGTTTAGGGGCATGGAAGGGGGGGATGGGGAAGAGGGAGAAACGTTTTTGAAGGTCTGCCTCTCCCCCATTCATCACTGTGAAACCCTCACGTGATGTCAGGCAACCAACCAAAGTGGCCATTTGTAATCATCTTAGAGGACAGAAACCCCCAAACCAAAAATAAACAGGCAGAGAACTCTCAGCCTTCCAAATTCGGGATTTCAGGAACCAAATGCTAGTGTTTTAAGACTTTAATTTCTTGAGACCCTTTAGTTTTAAGGTCTCCTGAGAGGTAAGAGGTTAAGAGAACTGACTGGAACACATGACAAGTCCAGTCCGCAGTCCTGAGGTGCCCAAGACCATGTCGTCCTACCCATGGGCTGGGTTTCTGGATGTCTCAGGTATCAGACTTTTACCCACTCCCCACATACTGTTCCTTGGTAATTAATGGAAGGAAGGTGGGTGGGCAGCTTCTTCGGATGGGCAGTCAAGCATCTTCAGTTGGAATGGGGACCTGTTACCACACTGGGGACACAGGGACCATTACCTCCTTGTTTGTCAAGCACCTTCATTTTGGGAGTAATCTTAAATACTGAGAAAACCAGACTGTTGAGTGTTTCCGATGCCTTGCACTCATTATTTCATTTTATACTCACACTAGCCCCCTAAAGTGCACACACATAGTGACTTGGCAGATTTTAACTGCTGCGTGTGAAGCTTATATCAGCTTATACCAGGACAGGCAAAAGTAGGTTTACAGTTGTAATACAAATAAGTAACACAAGAATTAAAAATAATAATACGAGAATAAACTGTACTCGCAGCTGTAAACCTCCTTTTGATGACCCCAGTCTTCCCAGCAGCCACACTAAGGATGCCTGTTTCCCCTGTGCTCACCAACATGGTCTCGTATCAGACTGTTCTGGTCTTTGTTGGTCTGATGGGTGACAAATGGTATCTCGGTGTGGACTGAATTTGCATTTTAGGGCCCTCATTCAAATGCAGTGCCCTATGGTACCTGAACATGGGCATGGTGCAGGGGAGGTGGCTCCGAATCTTACCAAAGGTGCTCAGGTGCCCAGCTTCCCCTGGTGGGCTGTGCGCTGGCCCAGGCCCAGTTATAAGAAGCATTGAGTTCCTTCCTGGGGACATATATGTTTGCTCTGTACGCTGACAAGTCCCTGGGACTCTTGAACAAGATCACATGACTTTTCTCATGAAGGCACAGTAATTGGGGGTGAGGCAGGTGCCCAGCGGCTATTGGTCAAGAGCACTCCATTGCCCCACTTGTACAAACCCTGGGCCCCGCTCACACCTGGGCCTCCTGCAGGCTCCCTGAACCTACCTCAGAAATCTCAGGGATGTAGCTGTCCCGAGTGGGCTTGGCTGAACAGAACTGGGAGGGTGGCTGGTGTCACCGGCATGGCTCTTCCTGCAAGTTTTCTGGGTGGGAATGTATCCCCTGCCCGTCGGTGTCGCTGGGGTCTCTGGGGTCGGCCAGGATGCCGCTGTGCCGCCCTCATCGCTGAGCAGGAGTGTGCTTCGAGACTGCCAGCGCCCGCGGGCACCGCTCTGGATGGGACGGTGCCCCACTCATCGGTCCTGTGCCTACTGTGCACACCCAGTCTGTCCCACACCCTGGGAAGAGCACTCGGACCCGGAGACGGGCTAGACGGGCATGAGGGAAGCCAGAGACCACTGCATTTGGAGATAAACGTGGGGGCCTGGTGACTCGTTTATTCAGCCACCACTGAGCACTCATGCGGCGCTGGCCTCGTCACTGGACTGCGGGCGCCAGCCAGCTCGGGTTATGAGAGTGGGGACCTTGCCTAAACATTAGCTGAGGGGTGCACTAGTTTCCCAGGGCTGCCCCAACGAAGGACCACAGACTGGGTTGCTTAAAACAGTACAAATTTCTCTCCCAGTTCTGGAGCCCAGAGGTCTGAAATCAGTGTTGGCAGGGTCATGTTCCCTTTGCCACCTGCATTCTTTCTGTGTGCCTCTCCTCTTCTTATAAGGATACCAGTCATCTTGGATTGGGATTCCACCCTACTCCAGTGTGGCCTCATCTTACTTAATTACATTTGCAAAGACCCTGTTTTCCAATGTCACATTCACTGGTACTAGGGGTGGGACTTGAGCATATCTTTATAGGAGACAGTTCAACCTGTGACAGGGAGTGAGGAAGACAGGCAGTAAGCAGGCAAGCAAGCAGGTAGACCAACTGGCCTGATAAGGTAATTGGGTCGTCACTGATGGCCTTGTTGAATGGGTGACATTTGAATGACAAGAAAGATCTGGCATTGGGGGTGGGGATTATCTTGGGGGAACTTCAAGGTATAAGGCAGAGATGGGCCATTGACTGTGGGTTGCAGGTAGGACAGAAGGGAGGCGATGATACGGTGCATGGTGAGTCACTTAGTCCTTGCTTAGATGAAACAGGAGCCTTTGGCTTCCCCACCAGGCTGCCAGCAGCTGCTTGTCTTTCTGCCTGTGTCAACCTGCTGACATTGTGGGCACCTGGTCCTTTCATGGTTTGAGGTGGCTGCCTCCTCGACCCTGCCTTATATCCATGGGTAGATCTGAAGGCCCCAGGGGAGAGGAGAGAGCCTGAGTCACTGTGGTTGGAAGAGGGACAGGTGGGACAGCTGTCCACGGTTCCTTGGCAGGTGGCCAAGGCAGGTGTACCAGGTTGCCCTAACAAGCAGCTTGGCCACAGGTAACCTCTGGGGATGCCCAGCCTACCTTTGGGTTCCTGCCTCTGAGGGCTTTTGGCTTGCTGGGAGGCCAAGTCCCTTGTCAACAAATGTTTGAGCACCTGCTGTGTGCCCTGCACCAGTGGAAATTAGCAGACCCAAGTCTTTGCCCTCTAGGAGCTCACGTTCAAGCAGAGGAGGTGACATGACAGGTGTAGAGTACAAAGTAGGGCAGGGGGTAGAGTGAGAGGCAGTGAGAGGGGAGGAAGGGCTGCTTTCTTTAGATTTCTAAATTTCCTTTCTGCACCTGAAAGAAGGAAGCTAGTCTCTCATTCTCCAGAAGTTAAAATGTAAAATTTTTTAAAATTACTGTTTTTTTTTCTGGGTGGGTTATTTTGTTTTTTAATGCGGAAGCAAGATGATCCTATTATGTAATTCCCCAGGTGGGATAACCAGGCTATTAAGATTTGAATCCCAATGTGGTCTTGGGAAGTAGTAACCCCTTGGCGCCTCAGTTTCCTCCTCTATACAAAGGGGCTCATGATTGCATGTACCTCTCAGAGTTGTGGTGAGGGTAAAGGAGGTTAATATATTTACTTGTAACATAGTAAGTGCTCAGTAAAATTTATCAATATTGGTATCATCACCACATCATCACCACCATCACCATCACCACCATCACCATCAACACCATCACCTTTAGCACCATCTTCACAACCACCATCATCACCATCACCTTTAGCACCATCATCACCACCATCACCTTTATCACCATCGTCACCACCATCATCACCATCACCATCACCTTCATCACCATCGTCACCACCATCATCATCATCACCATCACCTTCATCACCATCGTCACCACCATCACCATCATCACCATCACCTTCATCACCATCGTCACCACCATCATCATCATCACCATCACCTTCATCACCATCGTCACCACCATCATCATCATCACCATCACCTTCATCACCATCACCACCATCCTCATCCTCCTCCTCACCATCATCACAGGGAATGCAAAGCCTTCTTAGGAAAATGGAGGGCTCCAGGTTTGGCTGTGGCAGTGCTTTTGCCTCTCTGCTAAATCTCTGAGTTGTTCAGCCTTTGATGGGGATAAAAGCCTGAGCTTGTGTGGAGGTGGAGCCTGGTTTGCATTTCCTCAGTCTGGGGTCAGGCATTTTCTTTAAGCTGAAGGCCTGTGACTGATCTGATTCCCTGAGAGGAGCCCAGATCCTGCCCCGCCACCCTGCTGTGTGGCCGGCCTGCTCCCCCTAAGGGAGCCATGGCCTCATTGCTGCCGGCCGGCTGCTCAGCTGTGCGGGGCTGGGACATCTGGCTCTCTGGCGAGCCTCTGCCTGAGCTTCAGGA